CCCCTGCTGCCATTATTCACATATAAGGCAACTGTTGCCTTTTTTTGTTTTTGCCCCACTGCTGCCATTAATCACATATAAGGCAATTGTTGCCATTCTTAGTTTTCGTCCCTCTGCTGCAGTTAATGGCATATAAGGCAATTGTTGCCATTTTTTGTTTTCGCCTAACTGCACCCATTAATCTCATATAAGGCAATTGTTGCCATTTTTTATTGTCGCCCTCTGCTGCATTAATCACATATAAGGCAATTGCTGCCATTTTTTGTTTTCTCCCCACTGCTGCCATTAAGCACATATAAGGCAATTGCTGCCATTTTTGTTTTCGCCGCTCTGCTGCCATTTATCACATATTAGGCAATTGTTGCCATTTTTTGTTTTCGCCCCATTGCTGCCATTAATCACATATAAGATAATTGTTGCCATTTTTTTTCGCTCCACTGCTGCCATTAATCACATATAAGGCAATTGTTGCCATTTTTTGTTTTCGTCCCTCTGCTGCCGTTAATCGCATATAAGGCATCTGTTGCCATTTTTTGTTTTCGCCCCACTGCTGCCGTTAATCAGATATAAGGCAATTGTTGCCATTTTTCGTTTTCGTCCCTTACTGCCGGTAATCGCATATAACGCAATTGTCGCCATTATGGTTTTCGCCCCACTGCTGCCATTAATCACATATAAGGCAATTGTTGCCAATTTTATTGTCGCCCCTCTGTTGCTATTAATCACATATAAGGCAATTGTTGCCATTTTTTGTTTTCGCCCCACTGCTGCCATTAATCACATATAAGGCAATTGTTGCCATTTTTCGTTTTCGTCATACTGCCCGGTGATACGCATATAAAGGCAATTATTTGCCATTATAGTTTCGCCCCTGCTGCCATTAATCACATATAAGGCAATTGTTTGCCCATTTTTTATTGTCGCCCTCTGTTGCCATTAATCACATATAAGGCAATTGTTGCCATTTTTTGTTTTCGCCCCATTGCTGCCATTAATCACATATAAGGTAATTGTTGCCATTTTTTTTCGCTCCACTGCTGCCATTAATCACATATAAGGCAATTGTTGCCATTTTTTATTTTCGTCCCTCTGCTGCCATTAATCGCATATAAGGCAACTGTTGCCATTTTTTATTTTCGCCCCACTGCTGCCGTTAATCACATATAAGGCAATTGTTGCCATTTTTCGTTTTCGTCCCTCTGCTGCCAGTAATCGCATATAAGGCAATTGTTGCCATTTTTTGTTTTTATCCCTTTGCCGCCATTAATCACATATAAGGCAATTGTTGCCATTTTTTTTCGTCCCAATGCTGCCTGTTAATCGCATATAAGGCAATTGCTGCCATTTTTGTTTTTCGCCCCACTGCTGCCATTAATCACATATAAGGCAATTGTTGCCATTTATTGTTTTCGCCCCACTGCTGCCATTGTTCACATATAAGGCAATTGTTGCCTTTTTTTGTTTTTGCCCCACTGCTGCCATTAATCACATATAAGGCAATTGTTGCCATTTTTGGTTTTCGTCCCTCTGCTGCAGTTAATGGCATATAAGGCAATTGTTGCCATTTTTTGTTTTCGCCTCACTGCAGCCATTAATCTCATATAAGGCAATTGTTGCCATTTTTTATTGTCGCCCTCTGCTGCATTAATCACATAAAAGGCAATTGCTGCCATTTTTTGTTTTCGCCCCACTGCTGCCATTAAGCACATATAAGGCAATTGCTGCCATTTTTGTTTTCGCCGCTCTGCTGCCATTTATCACATATTAGGCAATTGTTGCCATTTTTTGTTTTCGCCCCATTGCTGCCATTAATCACATATAAGGCAATTGTTGCCAT